TATTGCCGATACAAGCTCCGTGTTCACTGCTCTGCTGCCAATACACTGCACGTCTGTGCATTGTCTCTACTTTTTTTTTTTTTAAGAAACCTGTTTATATGTTTGCAAAATTAACTCTATTACATTAACCACACACACCGAACAGCTACTTTCTATGGTCGTTATTATATGTGCACACACAGAGACAGATTTACAGACCTATTGATGGGAACTAGTTGAAATTCAGTGGCTGAATTTCCCTCCTCCCACACTCTCCCCTTTCACTCAGCTGCTGGAGGGCATCTCTGGAGTCCCTGGTTGGCTTAGTGCGTGAAGGAACATGTTTTCTGGTTAGAAAAGGCTGCAGCATAGAAGAGACAACTGTCCCATTAAAGCACACAGCAATATTTCCAGCCTCAAGATCTGATGTGGTTCTCATGGCTGCTTTTCACAAGGATTGCCCACCTTTCCCCGGAAAAACACTTTCACTGCAAACCTCGTGCCCTTCCCTCAGTATCCGGTTGCTCTCCTGCTGCAGTGGAATTCCCAATGTCAGTCCTGCCTGTTGTGCTTTCATCATGACACTGCCACACCAATTCCACCCCATTACTCAGAGCCCTAATAGTCCATCGAGCCCCAAGCGTTAGCACAAAGTTGGTCAGATGATGCAAAAGTGCCTTACAAATTCCTATGCAAAAGAGGAACGTTACAAAGGAAGGGGGTGGACACCCGTGGTGTTTGGTATGAAACCTATTTGTCTCTTGCAAAATAAGATGGTAAATAAGAACTATGAAGGAGAGTTTCTCAGCTTAGGTCACCCTGTAGCACCATAAAAACATCGATTTTAAGAATCCAAACAGGCTGCCTTGTGCTGCCACCAGCACCCTGCCGGCTGCAGCCAAACATCCAGAAGTCACAGAAGCTCTGTCTGAAGGACGCACGCAACTCCGCATCGAGCACCCAGGCTGTCCATCACACGAATAACGAGCTGCCCAGAATATGACAAAGTTGCTAGAATGAAACACTCGGATTTGCTTACAGGGCACCAAGCGTGGCCCGTGCATCACAGTGGACACAGACAGGGCAGACACCCAGCTCTGGATAGTAGGCAGCTCTCCATGTTCCTTGCATGAGACATCGCCTTTGCGATCGATACTGTCTTCTGGTTAGCTTACTGCCATGATACCCCAACACCTTCTCATCAATACTGGTGATGCGACTGACACTGTTTATTATTGTTGAGCAGAAAGACTGCAGGAGGAGGTTAAAGGCTTTGACAAGGTCTTATCTGGCAGCACTGCAAATGCAGAGGGAGCACAGGGGCCGTGACCACCCATGCTCTGGGAGAGGCCTGGAAGGATCTTCAGGAGTCACCTTGTCCATCTTTTTGGCCCAAAGCAGCATGGAAGCCACATAATGGTCAAAGACAAGCCAGGCTGAGGGTGAGCAGCTGCTGTGGAGCACGGTTATGAGGAGGAAAGCAAGGTGGCCAGTGGTGATGGAAGGAGCCCAGACCATCATCTCTACCCCGGTCCCCACAAATCCACCATCTGCTTTGATGTGGGAGCAGAATCAAGCTGCAGTTAAGAGACCGGGAACAGACAGCTTTGGAGGGCTGGACCCGTGAAACCAGAGGGAGATGTCCCAGGGGCCTCATTAGCCACTTTAATGGTGACTTCATGGTCCCTTTTGCAAGGAGCCACAAAAACTCTCCAGCCCGCAGGGAAGAAGGGAGAGCACTAGTGTGGCCAAGCCCTGCCAACCCCGTTTGCTCAGGAGAGGGTCTTAAAAAGTGGTTTTCTCACTGGGAGAAAGCAGACTTGGATGGCTGGGTTGTTACAGCCAGAATCATAACAGGAAGCTGGAAAACCCCGTAGGCTCTCCCTATCTGCAAGATGGCTTAACAGGTCCCAGTTTAGTTAAGGTACTTAAGCAGAATTAGTTTATCCTAGTGCATCTGGATACATGTAAATCTCAAAGGCATAAGTCTCATGGAAGCCACCACAGTTCAAGGCATACTTAGGGCCAAGAACCTCAGGGGTTTCCCTGGCAAATTGGGATGTAAGCTGCTGCTTTAAAGCTTCGCTGAATCCCATCAGCCTGAAAACAGCAGCTTCATCTCTTCCTTGTAAAGAGGAAGGTTCATCCCTTTCTACAGCTCTCCAAACATGATCTGACCTGCAATCAGCCAGGGCAGAGCATGGAGACATGAAGAAGGTCTCTACGAAGCACTCTACTCAGCCAGTGCTGTGCATGTGTGTGGCCGATGAAACAAAAGCGATCGCAATCCTCCTCTCTTCAGAAGACCAAATCCCATCAGAGTGTTTCCTCCTTTGAAGCTGATGTAACTGGTGCTCAGGGCTTCCACCACGCGACGGCGAACTGGCTTTGTGAAAGCTCAGCAGATGGAAACCACAAGCGCTGCCCTGAACCGTCTCCCTCTGATGTGCAAGGCTGGGCACCTGGAAGAAGCCACTTCTTAGGGCTGCGAGGAGGAGCCGAGGGTTGAAGCGCAGGTTTGTTGCTTTCGATCCGTGGGGAAACAGCCCGGCAGCACGTCACATGTAAGAAGGGATCTCAGGGCGCGCAGCCGGTGGAGGATGTGGATGGCTGTCCCACAAGCGGCGTTTTCCCTGCTTTCCAACAAAACTGTCGGCTTGAATGGTCTACAGCCCTCAAGTGGTGCCATGTGTCACCCATGTGGCTGCCGGCACACGGCACTCTACGGCGGGTGGCTGAGCAGAGAGAGGGAGGACAGCAGGGACCTGGTCTGAACCAGATCCACATTTCTCACAGCTGGAAAAACCGGCAAGTCGAAGCTCCCAAGAATGAAAGGCTCTGTCTTTCTTGCCGTGAAAAGGAGCTGGAATGTCTCTCTGTGTCCCTGCTGGATGGGAGAGCTTGGGGCAGTGGCTGCTCCTGGTCACCATCCCCGATGTCTGGTCCCTGCCCTGCTAAGTGATGCTTAACCCATCCATGAAAGCACTATTCCCAGGCTTGGCTTCAGACCATGCACCCAATTGTCCTCAACCTCTTGCTTGCACCAACACTTCAGCACAAAATAAAATAAATTTCCCAAATTTTCCCCCTTTCACTTACTAGCAAGAGGTCCCGGTGCTTTGATTACCTCCAGCAGAATGACATGAGGGATGCAGCGCCCAAAAGCTCGTCTGCTTTCTCCAGCGATCTCAATCTCACAAACAAAAAGTGCGTCTCGTTGCAGATGTGCATCCTAATATACTTGGACCAATGCAGCTACAACGGAACTCCTGCGTGATTATAGTTGCATATAGTATTTTACAGTTCATTTCAACCCATTATGAGGCCTGTAAAAAAAAAAAAAGGAAGATCTTTAACTGGAAAGACTCCACAAGTATTCTAAACCATCCTAATTCCTTTGCATTATGTTTAATTCAAGACAACCTATTTCAAGTTTACAATAGCATTGACTAGGAATCCTCCCAGAACCAGTTAATTTTGCCCCAGCAAAGATGCAAAGACTTCTTGAGGCAAGCTGTGCAATCGCCTGCGATTCTGTGATTAGACCCCTTTGTTAAGGCAAAAAAGGAAATTTATTTGTTTCCAAGCAAATTCAAAAATCTTTTAAAGAATTTTAATTAAGACGGTACGGTACCTTCTCATTAACAGATATTAGCAGAATGATTTAATGTCAAAGAGGTGTGTCACAGGAATGCAAGGAAAAAGGTTCACTCCGGCTAACATTTCTCAAGCTGTTCGGAACACTCCGCTTCACTTTGCTGCATCTCCAGCTATCGTCGGCGCGACGTCGCCACGCGCGCCAGCCCCATCACACCCAGAGACCGAACACAATTATCACCTTCCCCAGGCACAGAATTCGGCAATAACTCGCTGTCCGCAGCGCTGCATTTCCCAGAAACGCCTCATCTTCAATTCCATATATTCTAAGGGGCTCGTGAAGCCCGGCTGGACCAGTGCCTTGGCTTCATGTGCGTGAACCCCCCACCTGCCAGAGCACCCACCCACGACCAAATCCGTCCTCGGCACCATCTCGTACGGCTCATGCTCCGTCGGTTCGGAAGGTGCCAACCCCCACCTACTCCGCTTATCAGCGCGCGGGCCGGCAAGCTCAAAAAAAAATGGGCGTGTCCATGGTCATGATAAAAAGAAGTGAACGCTTACGAGAACGCCCCTGACAAAGCCAGCGCCGCGCTCGGGCGGATACGGCTTCCTCCTTCCCTATCGCCAGCGGTCATTGCTCAAGAGCCCTGAGCTGGCGGGAGACCCTGGAAGAGGCGGCATCGCCACGACATTTTGCAGGAGGTCCCGAAACGTAATTAAACGCTGTGGTGAAACCAAACCGTAAACAAGCCATGAATAAAAACCCCTTGAATTATTTTGCTAAACTATAATTATACAATAAGGAAGCAGATTAATTAAGTAAAATATAAGTCCTGAAACTGAAGCTTGCAAGCAAAGCAGTTTATTTTAATTTCCACATTATTTCATATGAGATAGAAGTGTTTGCTGTGGGTTTAAAATGTTGGAAGCCATTCCTTGCTGCCAGGCAGACCAAACCCAGTGGCTAAATTAAATTTTTGCATCTCAGGCACCTCCTGAAATGTATATAAGGAGAAGGGCTCTGCCTCAGAGAAGCTAAAGGAGATCTCCTTCTTTCACTCCCTGCTCCTCTCTTGCTCCTCTGCTTCGCCGTTACCGCTTCACCGCCCGTCTCCCGCAGCCACCATGAGTCGACAGTGCTACACCTCCAGCTCTCTCCTGGGAAGACGGGGCTTTTCCTCGGCGTCCGCCGTCTGCGGCCTCGGCAGGGGCAACAGC